GACATCCCACACGTGGCGGCGGCGTCACCCCCACGCACCTGCGGGCACGGAGCCCACTCTCCACTCGGCCGGAGCCTCGCCGACGGCGAACGCCCGTGGGCTCCCCCCACCCCGCATTTAGGGCTTTCCATCCTCCCCGCGGCCCGGGGTGCGGCCTCTCCTTAACGCGCCTCTGCCCGCTCCCCGCGCCCCCCGCCTCACCCCCAGGGAAGGAGTCAGACTGGCGCCCAGCCTCAGAAGTCCGCGTGCCGCCTCTCCCGATGGTGTCTGCATTTTTACCTTTCTTAACTTGGGATACATCGCGCTCACCCACGAAAGCACGTCCACCATCGGTGCCCAGCACCGTGATGATCAGGCCCCGGGACGCAGCCTCAGGCCAGGGACCAGCCCGCGCGCAGCCCTCTGTCACACGTCCTGTTCATGTCCACGGGTCAGGCGTGTAAGTCCGTGGGCTGCCCCATTTCCTACACTGTACTTTACATCCCCGTGGCTCTTCTCTAACTACCTAGTCGTACGTTTAATCCCCTCGCCTCTTCACCCATTCTCCCCCACACCCCCTCCCATCTGGCAACCATCAAAACACTCTCGGTATCCAGGATTCTGTCTCTGTCCTTCTTGTTTGCTTAGTTTTTGTAGATTCAATTGCTGATAGTTATGTATTTCAAACTACCTGGCCTTCCCAGAGGCAGACTCCCCTACTCAGCCTCCCTCCCCCTGAGCTCCAGCACCAGGGTAGCAGCTTGAAAGCCGCCAGTGGCATAAAGGGAGGAACTGAAGCGTCGGCCATCCAGGCGAGCAGAGGCCATTGTCCCTTTTCTAAACCCTCCCCCGCACAGAGCCGGCAAGCTGGTGCCATATCTGAGATCCCCTTCTAACCTGCAAGTTTCTTTTGCTAAATCACCTGACAGCCTTATGGGGACCCCCCTGTAGGTAACTAACAGCTTTCCTCTTGCTGCTTCTAAGACTCCCTCTTTAACCTTTGGCATTTTAATTATGATGTGTCTTTGCAGCCACCTTGTTTGGGTGAAGTAGTGGGCCTCTTCGCATCCACCTTGTTCGGGACTCTCTGTGCTTCCTGGATTTGCATGTCTGTTTCCTTCACCAAGTCAGGGAAGTTTTCTTTCATTATTTTTTCAAATAGATTTACAATTTCTTGCTCTTTCTCTTCTCCTCCTGGCACCCTATGATGCAAATGTAGGACCTCTTAAAGCTGTCCCAGAGGCTGCTTACACTACCCTCATTTTTTGAATTCTTTTTTCTCCTTGTTCCAATTGGTTGTAGTTTGCCTCCTTATGTTCCAAATCATTCATCTGATTCTTGGCTTCATCCACTCTGCTGCTGTTTCCCTCTAAATTGTTCTTTACTTCAATTAATGCACACTCCGTTTCTCACTGGATCTTTTTCATGCTGCTGAGGTCCCCACGGAGTTCCTTGAGCATCCTTAAAACCAGAGTTTTGAACTCTGCCTCTGAAAGATGCCTACCTCCATTTCATTCAGGTCCTTTCCTGGAGATTCGATCTCTCCTTGCATTTGGGCCATGTTTCTTTGTCTCCTCGTTTTGGCAGCCTCCCTGTGTTTGTTTCTATGTAGTAGGTAGAGCTGCTGTGACTGCTTGTCTTGGTCGTGTGGCCTAAAGTAATAGGTGTCCTGTCAGGTCCAGTGGCACAGCCTCCCGTCACCCAAGCTGGGTAATCGAGGTGCATCCTTCGTGTGGGCTGAGTACACCCCCCTCTTGTAGCTGGGCCTTGGTTGCTGTTGGCAGACCAATGGGAGGGACTTACTCAGGCCAGTCAGCTGCAAGGAAGGACTGGCTGTGACCACCGACCCCCAGCCTCTGCTGTCCATGGAGGATAAGCTGTGTGGGGCAGGGTGGTGGAGCTCCAACGTGGTCTGTAACTGCCCACTGGGTGCACTGGCCTTCGGGTTTGCCAGGTGGTACGGGCCAAGGTCAGCCCCACCTGTGCTTTGCCTGAGGGCACCCTGCCTGAGCTGTAAAGCCATCTGAGACGGCTGCTGCTTGTGCTGAGCTTGGAGATTCCCAGGTGAAGCCAAGCAGCGAATCTCGGCTGGTTGCTGCTAGTTCCAGGCCTGGGGTCATTGAGGCCAGTTGTTGGTTGTTTGACAGGATTTAGGAAGTTGTGAAGCAGGAGTCAGACCAGCCATTCAGATGGAAAAGCAGCTTGGGTGGGCCCTGACGTTGGGTGGGGTGGACTCTCTGGGGATCTCCGAGGAGAGTCAAACAGTGTTAGCCAGCTTGCCGGCTCTGTGCGGGGGAGGGTTCAGAAGAGAGACAATGGCCTCTGCTCACCTTGATGGCAGACACTTCAGTTCCTCCCTTTATGCCACCGGTGGCTTTCAAGCTGCTACCCCGCTGCTGGAGCTCAGGGGGAGACCGAGCAGGTGAGGCCGTGTGTGGGCTTTTTAAGAGGAACTGCCTGGGGCTCCAGCCGTTTCTTCTACCGACTCAGTCCCCACAGGTTTTTGCAGCCGGTTGTGGGGACGTATCTTCCTGGCACTGGGACCCTGGGCTGGGTGACCTGGTGTGGGGCTGGGATTCGTCACGCCCGAGATATCCCTCCCCAATTTCCATCCACGGGGGTGGGGGGCCAGCCTGTCCGTGTCCACGCCCCTCCTGCCGGTCTGGATAGAGGTGGTTCTTTGACTCCATCTGACTACATAGTCAGGCTTCCTTCAACTCGATTTCTGCCGGTTCTGAGTGACAACTGTTCTCTATTTTAGTTGTAATTTTGATGTGGTTGTGCAAGGAGGCGAGCCACATCTGCCCACACCAACATCTTTGAAATTTCTCTTTATTCCCAAGTTTTCACAGCACAGACTTATACGGCAGGCTTCGTGTAAACTCCAGGACAAAGGCACCTACTAAACAGTGATGTGCGCCCGGTCTGAATGCTCCGGGCGGGTCCCACTGCCACGCTGTGCACACGGTGGACAGTGCACGGGAGCCACAACGTGTGCCGGCTCATCTACCAGTGACACGGAGGCTCCAAGGGTCTGCAGACGGCCCGTGTGGACAACTGTGACGGGCGTCACTCGGCACAGCCTCCTGCAGAGGGAAGCCCCTACCCGCTTCCCTGCAACGTCTAGGAGCCCCTGCCTCCGTCGGCGGGGAGTGGAACCGCACCGCACAGGGGTCTGTCGAAAACCCGTGGCGCCTCTGGGTGTGGCTGCGCACTTAATCCTCCCAGATCTCCCCCTTAAACTTCAAAGTTTTCGCAGCCGCTCACCGCGCCTCTGCAAAGTTTCACACGCGTTCCTAACAAAGCACCTGCTGTCCAAGCCTGGGTTTTGGCAGAATAAAAGCATGAATTTAACTGGGATTAAGGGAATTTTCCCATAATTCTGAGGGAGCTGTGGAGTATATTAGCACCAACAGGTGCGAGATGACCCCAGCTGTGCCAATATGCATGTCGCAGCCATGAAATCGCGCCACAGACGTCCAAACACACACACGCACACACAGCGGGGTTAGAGGGACGCCCGCAGGCAGCCTGGGATCTGAAGCCCTCGGGCCCTGGCCCTCCCAACGGCCTTCCCCACCCAGGAAACTGGCCCTTCCGGTAAAAGGACGGTGCGTGCTTTCTTCCAACACCATCACTGAACCAAAAAAAATCCAGATGGGCAGTGGAAAAAACAGGGCATTTCTACACAGCGGAATGTTACTGATACCCAGAAACAGGGAACATATGGGGCCTGATCCGAAAAGCAGAGCAGGGTTTGGAGAATGTAATAAATTCAGCCCACTTTGCACGGGGGTTTATAAGCCAGCTCTGAGGGGCACCAGTGAACTTCGCAAATGGAATCACTGAAACCACAGAAACAGGTCCCGGCACGTCTTCCCGTCCGTGTAGTCAGCCTGGATGGAAACGCGCCCCCCACGGAGCAACGTCCACGTTTGGGGGGGGGGCACACACAGGCCAAGTCGGAGTGTTATTTTTTTTTTCCTTTTCTCATTGACTTCATGAGTTTGTAAAAGAATTATTAGGCATAATGTGAGCTCACTATAAATATTTTTTCAGCAATTTTTAAGTCGTGGATGACAACATAGTTTTTAAAAATACCGTATTCCCAGGCCACACTATGCACACCCCGCAGCTTTCCAGCAATGACCAGTCGCTGGAAGTATGAGGGTTCGTGTCCCCATGAATGACAGATGCCATCATTCCAGGCCGCTCCAAGGTCGGTCCCGCACGTGGCTCCCGCTCTAACTGTCTGAGTCGGGAACACAAGTGCTGATTGTAACCGGCCTGCCCTTTAAATAGAAAACAGGCCTGAACGCAAACTCTAAATGCAAATGTGCCTGTGACACACAGAGCTCGAGAAGAAGTGCTGTGCGCCAGCCCTGATCGGCAGTGACACGTGTTGCCAGTTCCAGCGACTCGGACCTCGGAGTGTGACGCTGAGACCGGGACACTTCTGGCTGACAATCTGACCGGGCTCCCCCAGCAATCAGTCAAGACCCACGGCTGCGGGCCATTTTACCATAAAAATAATCCCGATGATTTATAAAGTTTTGGGTAAAATATTAATGGAGAACAGACTATTTTATAGATTATTCTTCTGCCAACATTATTACGTTCAGTGATCAGGCCCTGATGAGTAATAAAAACAACACAAATAAGCCATCTGGGTACGGAGCCATGAAGGATGAGCCACTATTTCTCTGCAAAAATATACATACAAAACCAGATCTTTTTGCTTTTTTTTCTTTTTTGCTAAGGAAAATATTTGATCCTTTCCACTGTTGACTACAGTCCTTGTCGTTATTTCGAAACACTGAGACCTGGCGTGGTTCAGACCCCATCTTCTGCTGGTAAACTGCCTTAAAAACAGAGGTTTCGTAACATTTTAGGGTTTGTCCGGCGACAAAAGCCCCTTCCCACTGCCCCTCGCGAGGCCACCGAGGTGGGCTTTCTTTTCCGCTACAAGCAAACACAGGTGAGGCCATCAGAAAACCGCCCGTCACCTGAGCCAGACCTACCAGGGCACCGGGGCGTCTTGTGGGCCACGGCCGTGCCGCTGATGGGCCTCCCGTTGGGCGTGACGCACCAGCAGTATCCGGTGTAGCTGTGACACTGGACCTGGGGAGACAAGAGGGCAGGGCGTGGCCATGAGCGCAGGGGGTGGGACGGGGCTCGCTCTCCTCCTCTGAGGCCTGCGCTCCCGAGGTCCAGCCTTTGACCGCTCGGCCAGACTGAGCGTGGCCACCTGAGCACAGGGCCCAGGCAGAAAGTGGCCGGCAGCCCTTGCCGGACGCTAGCGTGTGTCGCCCCAGCGGCTCAATATCTCGCCCACACCCTCATCTTACAAATGGGGAGACTGCGGCTCCCGGGGGGCAAGCGGCAGCTCGGCGATGCCGGTGCGCCCAGCGCAGGGCCAAGGACCAGAGGCCGGCACCAGGAGGTTGGCGCGACGCTCTTCCCACCACCGCCCGCCTGCCCTGGCGCCCCCCCGCCCCCGCACTGCCAGTAGCCCCCACCTGCTCCCTGTGCTCGCTCTCCCTTTGAGGGCCAAACGACCGCCAGGAGGCTGCCCGGAGGCCTCACTGCTACCGCGTGGCTCCCAGCAGATCCCGTGCTATTTTCCGACTGTAAGCCGCCGACATTGCATTTCGGGAACCCCTTCCCTTAGTGCGGCACAGCGGTGTGGACAGCGAGAGCCCTTCCCCCTCCCGGGGGCGCGCGCCCGACTCAGGATGTCCTCCGTGCGGCCTCGGCCCCGGGCAAGCTCGCGGGGCACCCGCCGCCGCAGCGCACGGGACTCTGAGCTCGCAGGTCATGGGGTGAGAATTACAGCAAAATCAGGTTCTTGGGAGCGAGCCAGGCGAGCTGGCGTCGCGGCCTCGCTAAAGAGGCTCCCGCCCGCTTCGCGCAGTAACGAGAGTGGCGGCGCGGCAGGCGCCGGGCGCCTGCCTGGAGAACGAAGCGCTGAGCATGCGCTGGCGGGGCGGCTTCCGGAAGCCACTGCGCGGCCCCGCCCTCCGCAGGCCCCCGCCCCCCGCAGGCCGCGCCCCCGCATGGCCCCGCCCCGCGCAGGCCGCGCCCCCGCATGGCCCCGCCCCGCGCAGGCGCCAGCCCCGGAAGCGCCCGACCTGACTGTAGGTGCCGTCGTCGTTGCACTCCGGGATGAACACCTGCTGGAGCTCCTTCCGCGCCTGCTCCAGCGTGTACTTCCTCTCGGCCACGCACCGGGACACGTCTGCGGGGGGAACAGAGCAGAGCCGCCGTGACGACGGGAAGGGCGGGCACGCGCGGCGCAGAGGGGCGTGGAAACCGTCCGGTGAAAGGCCTGGTGGTCGAAGAGCAGGGCCCCTCCACGCGCGGTGCACAAGGAAGCAGAGCCCAGGGGAGGTGGCCCGGCTGCTTGTCCTGGTGAAACGGGGACTGGCCCCACGGGGACCGAGGGCCCGGCTGCGGTCCAGCCAGTCCGGGCGCGTCCCCTTCAGGTCCCGGGCGTCCCTCGAGGCACCTGGCGTCCAGTGCGGATGGGGCCTGGAGCCACGGGCAGGATCCAACCGAAAGCACTGGCCCGGGGCGGGGGGCGGGGGTAGCCCTGGGGCGCCTGGAGGACGTGCGACGTTCTGGCCTGCAGCTGGGCCCGGGGACACGCCCGGTCGGAAGACCACCTTCGTGGGGAACCACGGTGGCCTCTTCTCCCTGTACCTAAGTGTCCTGGGATCTCAAAGCGACACTCAGCCCCGGCCTTTTCCGACCTCAAATGGAGAGCTCTGGGCGGGTGGCCCGGTGGGCTGAAGCGGCGGCCGGTGCACCAAAAGGCTGTGGGTTCGATCCCTAGTCAGGGCACATGCCTGGGCGTGTACAGGAGGCACTCGATGGGTCGGTTGATATTTCTCTCACATCAATGTTTCTCTCTCCCCCTCCCCCTTCCTCTCTCTCTAAAAATCAGTGGACCTGTCCTGGGATGAGGCTTTAAAAACGCGGAGCCTAAGAGTCAGACCAAGGGTCTCCTCCCTGAGCGCCCCCCCTTCCACCCGTCCCGACCTTCCACACGGTCGTGTGGAAGTCACTGCAGCAGAGTTGATGTAAAGCACAGTGGTCCTGCCGTTCCCCAGGAAGAGACCCCGTGACTCAGCAAACTAGCGGCAGCAGAGAAATCTAAGAACATTCCGGCAGGAACGAAAATCGTGAAGAGAAACGTGAGGGAGTTCACTGGCTATGTTTTCTTCTAGGGTTTTTATGGTTTCGAGTGTTACATGTCTTTACAAGTTGGCAGTTGCAAAACAGTCACGGGACGTGAAGCACAGCCTGGAAACAAGAGTCGATAATAATATGGCAGCAACTACGTTTGGCGCCAGGTGGGCACCAGAGAGAGCAGAGGAACCCTTGGTAAACCATGTGGCTGTCTAACCGCCAAGCTGTGCACCGGGGACCAACATGAAATAAAGCTGAAAGGAAAAAAAGACACCACTTCAGCACATCTACTCCCTCTCTGAACACCAGCCAGGGCTTGGTCCGTAGACAGGGTCCTAGCGGTCACGTGCACTGAGCGGCGGACGGCCTGCGGTCCCCGTAGGACCCACCTGGCCCCTCGCTGCCCCACAGTCCAGGCTGGATGAGGGCTGCCTGGCCCAGGAAGGATGTTCATTCCCAGGGGGAGGATGGAAAGTGGGAGGCCGCGCAAAGGGCCCCCTCTTCCTGACCGTGGCCAACAAAACCTCTCCAGGGGCCTCCGGCCACCAGGAGGCGGCGCGGCGTCCTCACCACAGTGTCCCCACGGTGCCCTGCACCCTCAGACACCACCGCAGGCACTGGCTTCCTTTCTCTGAGCCTGCCTACGTGCAGCTCATTTGAATTTTAAAACTTGAAAAGAATGGCTTCCCCAAGTTTTAAGTGTTTCCAGATTTAAATAACAAGTTGCTGAGATCCTAAAGGCCCTGTGGACGCCAAGAGATGCGGCTTCAGCTGTGCCCGCTGCCCGATGTCTTCAGTCGGCGACGTGTTGATTGCCTGGGAGTCAAGACTGCTGGCTCGACACGGTGCCATCTGGGCAGCAGCCCGGGCTGCGGGCCGGAGTGATAGCGCGGGGGTGGGGCGGGGCACGGGTCAGAGCGCAGCACACAGGCCCTGCTGCGGGCGGCTGGCGGCCGGGGCTGCTGTGACGCAGCGGGGGCGGGCTGGCCCTGTGTCATAGGGGCCTGCGTGTCAGAGCAACCTTCGTGGGCTCGGCCTCCCGCCCAGAGCGGTGCTGGGCTCAGCCGGCCAGCCCTCCACGACATGTGGTTTTAATGCACTCTGTGTTTTGGCTGCGGAGAGATCACTGCTTTGCTGGCCTCTGTCCTCCTTTTTTAGGATGGCCTGCGGTTTGATTGTCGAAAGGGAAAAGTGATACGAGCGCCGGCTCCTCGGGTCTCCGCGCGGGTGGATGGAGTTACAAATTATGTCCCACGTTTGAACTCTCGTGGAACACGCCAAAAAGCACACATTTTCCAAACCGCTTGTGGGTCCGCTCTTGGCATGAACGCCTTCTTTTGAAAGACGCCACTTTTGTGACCAGTGAGAGAGTTCTGGAACCTGCAGCCCTCGCATTTGACAGGACGCTGAACCCTGGGTTTGCCGCTGACGGGGGCTAGCTGTTCGGTCCGAGGAAACGAGGACAGCCTGGCAGCAAACACGGCAGACCTGCCCCTCAGAGACGAGTCCGCTGTCACCTGCGCAGCCCAGGCGTGGCGGCCTCAGCCACCTGCCTGTGGGTCCCTGTCCCAGACAGACTGACTCCGGCCCCAGAGTCACTGCGGAGCAGCCTGGCCAGCAGCCCTGCACGTCAGTTCTGTGAAACGCCCCAGACGCTGTGCGATTCCACTCGAAACTGCTAACAGCTGCCGTGTGCTGCTTTGTTCTGTTTCTCATTTCAGAGGGTAAGCACGCATGACGTGAGGTCTGCGGTCTCGGCTGATTTTCACGTGCACAACGTGTGCACGTGGCAGCAGGTGCGCCCCCCACCCCACCCCGGCGCAGCACCAGGACGTGCGTGGCAGGCGGCTGAGCCCACCGCCTGTGCTGAGCGGCGCCCGAACCACTGCATGGCTGACATGCACACACTGGAGGCTAAATTAAACGCCCCTCTTTACAGACGTCAAAATATTGAGCACAGCTTCAAAGTTATATTCTTCTCAACCCTGCGTTTTTTCTACCACCTTCTGAAAGCAGAAGAGAAAGTGCAGAAAGGTCCTCCCCGTGTAGCTGCGCTGGGAGGTGACAAGGTTTCTCCGTTCCTCACTTCTCTGTGCTTTTGTGAGGAAGAGGCAGCCCTTCACCGTTCAGGGGCCTTGCTGGGGTTGCACCCTGGACACTTTAGGGTTAACTGAAGGGAAAATCCTCAAAACACAAGCACCTCATTTTTTCACTGTGATACAACCACACAAAACACACAATCCATCATTTTCTCCGTTTTGAAGAGCACAGTTCAGCGGCAGTTAGAATGTCCACGACGTGTGGCCACTGCTTTTGCCCAGTCCCACCAGAGCACATTCTCCAGAGGAAGCCCCGGCCACCCCGGCTCCTGCCCCTCTGCTGTACTGAGCTGGCGCGCAGCAGGTGAGTCACGGACTCCCGAGCGGCTGGAGAGGACTCTGACCAGATGCTCCCCCAGCACGCGGCCGGGGTTGCCCAGGCGGCGTGTCCACGGCCGCCCCTTCTCCCGGCTGAAAAGCGACCCATCGTGGATGGACCACGACACGTTCCCCTGGTGGGCTGCCGGTGGGCGCTGCGGCCCAGTCTTCTGCATCTGGGTGGGGAGGGGACTGTCGGGGTCATGACAATTCCGTGACTACCTGGCAGAGAGACCGCCCGACTGTTTGCTGCAGAAGCCGAACGTTTTCGCGTCCCTGCCAAACTGGACCAGGGGTCCTGTGCATCCTCATCTTCCCCAGGACGCTTCCCACCTCTTTTCTTTCTAATCGTTACAGCCTCCCTGGGTGTGAAGTCGCTGACGTTTGGGTTCATGGTAATTTTTAAACTGTGGTCAATTTTTACCTCATAGGAAAATTCATCAGAGCTAAAAATTTAATTCAATATTCATTTAATCTTCTAATCAAAGACTTGAATCACTTTACTCGACCAAAGGAACACTCTTTGATGCAAATTTGATCATGTGTTTTCGGAAACATTTTGTTCTTCTATGAAAGAGCAGGGACTTTAAAGAACGTCTTCATTGCGCTCAGCAAGGCAGGGCTGACGGCAGGTTTGCAATGTTAGATTTTTGGTGACTTGTTGGTTAAAGATGATGAGTTCAGTGAGCAGCGTATTTACTGGTGGTTGATTTTCTTCTGTCGGGTGAAAAGTAGAACAGATTCCAGTTCCAATGGGATGGCAAAGCTCATTTACGCACCAAGATGCAGAAGGTGAAGACGCGATCCTAATGCAGCGCTTATTCTAAACCAGGGGTAGACAAGCAGCGTTTTATAATGGCTCTTTCTAGCGATGGTTTTCATTTAAACAGGAAGCCAATAATTTCCTACTTTGCTAAACTCGCTTAACACGGGGTAAAGCCACGGTTGGAAGAGGCCGCTTTGCCGAAGCCGCTTGGCGAGCAACCGTGACGTCAGAAGACAGTCAGGAGAACGCAGCCTTCGTGGGTCACCCCGAGCCCAGCATCCCCGAGCGCGAGAGCGGTTTCACAGGGACACCGGCCCGTCCCGCGAGAGGGTCCTGAGGACCTGGATCGAGTCTTCCTTTACCTCCTGCCTCGGTCTCCCACAACGCGTAGCTAACGCCAGAGACACTGCGTCACGGGTTCCACGCCGCTCACAAGCTGCTTCTGAGGCAGGAACTCTCAGGGACACAGAGCTATTCGGTCCTCCTAGCATACGACCCAGTGATGGGGGAGGATGGGGTAGTGTTCTGAGCAGCGGACCCACGGGCCCCGGATCAAGTCAGCGGCGTGGAGCGGTCATGACTGGGAGCGTGGCCGCGTCCTGACTGGCCCGCTGGGCAGCCCGCCTGTCCCCAGCCGCCCCCTGACTGGGACACTTTGGAGCAGGGGAGAAACAGAGATGAGGTTTCATGTTAACTAAGTGTTGCCATTTTAAATACATGAAGACAGAAATGAATGGACACAGGAGACCCCTGGGGTACATGGCTGGCGTTGCCAAGTCGTGAAGGACACAGTGCAGAGAACCCGCAAACTGTCGCCAGTCCGCACTGCAGCACCCAGCCGGCTCTCACGCGCTTCTGCAGGAAATGGGTCACCGACGGCAACCGGGCCGTCAGTGCCATCGAAACACGTGATGGCGCGGGCAGTCGCCGAATGCTTTTCTATGAACTTGGGGCACGACGCAGGGAGTTTCCAAAAACGTGCCCAGGAGCCTCAGCTCTGCCTGAGGGACAGGAGGCCCCCGGGCCCGGGGCTGGGCCTCCGTCGTTCCTGAGACTCATGTTGTTGCTGTCGTTCGCCACAGCGGGAACCCCTCACCCCGGTGGAGGGCGCGACCCCAAATGACCACTCTGACCGCCACCCCCAAGGCCTAAGCAGCCCCGCATCTGCAGAGAAGGCTCCAGGAGGGGGCTGCGGGGCCTGAGGGCATGCGGTTCCCAGAAGGCGCAAGGGTCAGCGCTTCGTTGGAGTGGACGGGGCTCGCGGCGCAGGCCGTGGGCTGGCAGCGTCCTCGTCAGGGTCGCCGCAGGGTCCCTACGAGCAGGCAGAGGACGCACCCGTGTCTGAGCTGTGCTGGGGCTCCTGCAGGGGAAGGGGAGAGCTCTGGGAGCGCATCACAGCGGCGATGTTAATAGTGCTGCTTCGTCATCCGCGCCCCCGCGGCCGCATCGCTGACGCCTGCCTGTCCTGTCCTGCGGTCACACATGCGCTCAGGCGGGCCCCGGAGAGTGACCACGACAGTGCCTGGGAGACACCAGCCGCACGCAGTGGGCGACCCTCGGGAGGCATTTTGAAACGACGTCCCTTCCCTCCCACTCTGGTCCCTGTGGAGCTCAGCCCTGGGGACCCTCGAGGCAGCTGCGCTTGTCGCACGCGCCTTACGATTTTGTTTCCAGAAATCTCAAAACAGTCCCAAGGTCTCCTGACGTTTGATGTTTCTTCTTTTTCCTGTCAGCTTTTTGATTTCATGCCAGAAATTCGTTGAAAAGAAAGACAGCCCTGAGGGTCTCCGATCAAAAGGAAACATTAGTGCACTTGCTGAGTCTGGGGAAACAAACTCTACCGGTTTCTGCGTAACTGCAGGCCCGCGGCTCAGCCCCCACGTCGGCTCTGACGCGCCACGTGTGAAACACTTCAGCCCAACAGGGACCAAAGCTGTTAGGTCACTTCCACACAGAGTGTCCAAAAGGGACAGGCCAGTGGGACTGTCGCCCAGCAGACCTGTGACGTGGCCCTCAGGGCAGACGGCTCAGCCCTTCGCACGTCCACGCTGAGACGCACAGGCCAGCTGCCACGCGGGGATGACCCAGAGAGACGCCGGATGGGCACCTGTGTGACAAGTGACGTCAGGGACACGCCAGACCCTCTCCCCCGCCACACTCAGAAGGAAGCCCCCGCCCGGGCGTGGGGTAGACCCTGCCGGGTCTGCACCCGCAGAGCACGGGGAGGTCACGGCATTGTCGGAATTGGCCTGTTGCCTGGGGCGCTCCCTGCCCACCCAGTCACCGGGCGCCGCTCCGGCCACACTGGGGCTCAGGCCGGGCCGGAGCCGACGGGAGCTGCAGCCGGGTCAGCCCGTGTGAAGGACGGGCCCCCTACGGCCGGGCCCCACTTCGGCCGGGGGCCGGGGGCCGGGAGCCGGGGACAAGGCTGCGCCTGGGGGACCCTGAAGAAAGACGGACGCCCCGCTGGGCGGACTCGCGCCCGCACCCAGACCCGGGCCGCCAGGGCGCACGCGGCCCGGCGGCGGGGGGACCGAACGCCCGGCCCAGGCTCTCGCTGCCGTGACCCCGGCGTCGACCGCCCTTGGCGGCCGACACGGCAACACACGTGGCTTTTACGTTGGCAGGTGTCTGTGCCTTCTCTCCCTTTAATCCTTTTGATTTAAGTTAAATTTGCTTTTGTGAAGCGAGCTCTGTTTTTACCTGCTTCTCCGTTCCCGCATTTGTATGTGTGTGTGTGTGCGCGCGCTGCAAATTTATGGCATGAAATTTGTTGGGTGAAGTGAATGAGAATCCCCACCAGGGGAATTTTCCCAGGTAATTACCCTGGAAACACTGGGCTCAGCCCAGACATGGGTGGGCTCACGGACGTGCCACCAAACAGGACCCATGTTTAACTCAGACCCGCCCGCCCCACTGAACCCAGCCTGGACCCTGCGGGTGGGCGTGGCCGAGTCCCAGGGAGGAGGCTCCCAGGAGCCTGCGGGACAGGGGGCCCCGCGTGGGCTCCGGCCCGAGTATCGCTGGTCCGTCGCAGCCACCAGAGGCCCGGGCTGAGGCGGGGGGTGAACCTGGAAGCCTCCTCAGGGCCTCCCACCCCAGGCGATGGGCTTCCCCAAAGGAGCACAGGATGGAAAAAAACAATAACCCTCAGACTTGGCCACAACTCCCCCGGCTCCCGCCCTCCCAGGCAGTCGGCATGGGCAGTGGCTTCCAGGGACTCCTCCGCAGCGACCGCCCGCCATTCACATTTATTCTGCAGTCGCTCCTCGTGGCTCCGCGCAGACAACGGGTGTCACTGCGGCCACAGCACGCGGTGGCGCCACCTTCCCACGGACGTGTGGACACCACAGCACAGGGAGACGGAACTAACATTACTTTTTCCGCCTGGAAGCGACGGATCCCTTCATTGCGCGCGTCCCTGTGGAGCAGGCCAGGGTTGGGGACGCCCTCCAGCTGGGCCGTGATGGTGCCGTCACCTGGCGCCCAGGCGCCCCGGTTGGGGGCCCCGGGGAGGTGCGGGGGGCAGGGGCCATGTCACGTGCTCAGTGCTGCTCACGTCCACCCCCCCTTTCCCTGCCTCAGCCACCTGTGGCTCTCCCACCCCCCCGGGAGGAACAAGGTCCCGAACCCAGCACTGCCGCTCTCCCTCCTCCCCTCACCCTTCTCCCCCCGCCGCCCTGCGATGGCCCCCCAGGCGATGCCCCCAGCTAGGCTTCTGCTCCGGGGCCCTCAGGCCGCCCTCGGCAGATGCGGAGGAGGACGCCCAGCCCGGCAGCGGCTGCCCTGACACCAGGGCAAGGGTGGGGCTCGGCGTCAGGAGCTCGGCAGCTCCCGGGTCTCCGCCCGCGCGCCTGCCACCTGCCTCAGCCCTGCCCCCAGCCTCTCAGGGCCCCGATGCCAAGGGTCCTGAGACACTGACCTTGAACAAAGCCCAAGGGTCGGAAGAGCCTCAATAACCTGTAACCCTCAGCGACGAGCAGTGCCCAGGTGCATGCTGGGAGGGAGCCGGCCTCCCCGCCCGGTGCCCGTGGAGGGCAGCAGCGCGTGTCAGGTGACAAGCCTGTGGGGCGCAGACAGAGGCCCCGGAATTGGAGGCCCCAGCACTGGAACGTGGAGCTGCCCCCAGGTGTGCAAGGAGCCGAGCCCAGGCCTAAGAAAGAGCCAAGCTTCTGTCTCTGCCATGCACAGGAGTGGCCCAAGGCTGTCACCTGGGACACGGCCTCAGGGCAGGCTGGGCACCGCCTGACCAAGCCCGAGGCTGCGACCAGGGCTCTGCCTACGGGGACATTTGAGTCTGTCAGGAGACAACGAGGACTCCGTCTCAAAAGCTCCATGGGGTCTCTTCTCCTGGATAGTAAGGAAGAGAAGGTTAAACCTCTTTCCGAACACGACCGTGTTTGTGTTTGAAACACCAGCCTGTCCAGCCGAGTCCAGCCCTTCGTCAGCGTGGGAGGCCCGTCGTGTCTCACGGCACGCGTGCTGCCGGGCACTCCCTCTGACTCTCAGGGATCACACATGCAGAATTAGCACCGAAAGCACCACGGAAGACGGCCGTGCCGCTATGTACGTCCCCGGCTAACAGGCGAAATGAGAAAGAGGCACAAACAGCATCGACATCGGGGAGAACAATTTTGGGGGACTTTGGAAATGTTCTGTGAAACCCGTGGGTAAATTTGCGTCGTGATGTCATGCATCACGCTAAGGAAAGCGAGCGCGAATCAAGTGAAAAATGACTCCACTCTCAAGTCATAGAAATCCTCCTTCTTCCTTATGTGCTCCGAAAAAAATTTGCCAACAGAAACATCGTAGGTCCTCGCACATAAAAACATAGGAAAGATGCACATAAAGCCTGCGGGCCTGCCTTGCGACACTGGATCCCCGGTGGCTGCATGACCACGCGCACACTCACCTCGGCAGTTTCCTCGGTACGCGATTTCTAGCTGGGGGTCCTTGCACTTGGCACGCTGGAACTCACAGCGGGACAGGAAGGTCCTCCCGTCGGACGCGCAGAGGGGTCTCTGCGGGGAGCTCCCGCAGTCCAGGCTGCAGTCTTTGTCTTTGTCTTGATCAACTCTCAGAAACTTCGGGGGAAAAGAAAGAAGCCAGATAAATGTAAAGAAACGTCTTCTGCAGAGCCGCAGAATGCAAACAACGAGCAGAGGCCACCTCACGTCCGGAAAGCACTGCCGGAAACGCCAGGGAAACCTCTGAAAATTCTGGTTTGCTTTGTGGGTTTTTTTCAATATATACATTTATTGGTTTTAGAGAAAGAAACATCAATGTGAGAGAGAAACGTCGATCAGTTGCCTCCTGCACGTGTGCTGCTGCGGATCGAACCCGCTCGAACCCGCAACCTTGGGGTGCGTGGGACAACGCTCCAACCAGCGGAGCCACCCGGCCGGCGTGGCCTCTGAAAATTCTACACTGACGTCTGTCTCAAAAGGTCTCAATGACCAAGAGTTTCTCTCTGTCAGAGCCCAGGGCCGGACCGCTGAACCCCAGCTGCCGTGAGAAACAGCCCGTGTGTGCGCGGGAGGCACCGCGTGCTGTCTGCCGTGAGGCCTGACCAGCCGCGCTTCCCCGGCAGTTGCTACCTTACTCCGCACCCACCCGGCTCCGCCCTCACCTGGGGAGCTACAGGTGGCTGCCCAGAGTCGGGCACTGGGCTCCCCTAAGGAAGGGCCCCTGCGTCCCCAACCTCCCACTCAGCTCTGACGGCGTCCCCGCGGGCCCTGGGTCCGGCCGGCAGCCCCCACTCCGCCCTTCTCGCACCACGGACGGTGCCCCCGCCCCCGCCGCCGCCCGGCCCCGGCCTCCGTCCCGCCAGGCAGGACAGCCACCACGAAGGCGGGTCGCAGGAAGCTCTAGGCAGGCTCCGTGCGCAGGAGGAGCAGAACCGTCACCAGGCTCCGGTCGCTGGGACGTCGCGCCCCCCAGCGGCGCCGGCCCTGACGTCTGAGGCCCCAGCAACTTGTTGCAAGAAAGCGCGAACGGGAGAGTCAGGGCTGTGGCGTCGCCACGTGCCGCCCGGGGCCCGCGGGGCCTGCGGTGTCCGCACAGGGTTGCCTGCCAGCACGTTCAGGAGACAGACCGAGCGCGGCTCGCGAGGGCCCAGGCCACTCCAGGCTGGGCTGCAGGAGCCCTTGTCAGCTCGCTCCCCGTCAGGGAGTTCTCGGCTTGAAGGGATACCAAGGCGCCCCTACCCCCGGACGTCCTGAGGGTCCCTGTGTAAAAGCTAACCAAGAGCAGAAGCCGCGAGGAGGTCTTGGGGAGGAAGGGTCCCGGGGTGGGGGGCACACTGAGCCGGGAGCCATGCTCGCAGCAGGAGTCTGGGGGGCCCCTCGGAGACCCACGCCAGGGCCCCGGGAGGGGGCGGCACCCTGCGGGTCCCAGCGCACGTGTGTCCGAGTCCCCGTGGGAGCAGGACATGCTGCCCCGCGAGCTCGTCTCCAGGGTCCTGACGCAGGGTCCAGGGTCACGAGGCGGGCGGGCAGCGCCCAGAGGCGCTGGGTCCCCTCCAGCGGGGCCCCCGGGCCCAGGAGAGAGGCCTGCTGAGCGCTTCCAGCCCACACCGCACGCCCTCATTCTTCTCTGGGTAAAACGATCTGTGCTCGTTTTGGCTGACAGGCAAGTGAAAACAGATCATTGCCTTTTTTGGGTTTGCAAAACTTTGCTCTTTTACTTCAAAATGGGCAGAGCGAGCATGCAAGCACGCTGGGCTGAGCTCTGCCCCTGCGGAGTGTCCAGGCCCACGTCCGTCTCTCCTGCGAGTGGACGTGAGGTCCCAGCGGCGAAGGCGTCCTGCAGCCACGCTGCTCGCGGGGAGGGGGCCCTCCGGTCGCCCCCCGGGAAGTCCGTCTGCCGCGGACACGCCGCTCCTGCCCTCTGTGGTCCTGACGCCGCCACCCCTTCCCCCCGGCACAGGAGAGCTCGGGGACCCGTCCTCACAGCACAGCCAGCCCCGCAGCACAGCTTTCAGACAGACAGACAGACAGACAGACAGAGGCCGAGACAGAGAGGGAGCGAGACAGAGAGGCTGGGAGACGGGGGAGGGCAACAACACGGAGCACACGTGAACACGTCACGGGACCCAGCCTCACGCAGGAGCCTCCCCACCTTCTGTTCATGATGAGAAGGCGGAATAACCTAAATCCTCTCATTTTTCTGTGGAAGAGGTGGTCTATCTGCATTTCCTGACACCCTAAGTGAGGAAATGCAGACACGTAGGGTAAGACATCTAATTATCACTTTCTCCAAATGGAAAGAGACAGACTCTACACCCTTTTGTACCAAAAAAAAAAAAAAAAAAAAAAAAAAACCCTAGCATTCAGGCGTTTGGAATTTGACCGTAATTCTTGATAATTTGGTGGTGTGGAACTAACAATGGGACTATTCTTTGTCGGAAACCAGAGAACACACACTTTGTACACGTTGTTCCCCTCCCTGTTTTTAATAGCAATTAAATTCCAAGGGAGACCACGCACAGAGAAGAGGGAGCTTCTGCTGGAGGAAGGAACCAAGCCCTTCAGGGAAGACGCAGCCTTCCCGCCTGAAGAATTTGCTCTTTATTGAAACAGCTTGGTGGAGAGGTTTCAAACGAGCTCAGATAAAAGGCACGTTGCCAAACTTAGAATGAAATCAGTTGGACCTTGAGCAACACTATTAACAAAACCACCAGCCCAGGAGGCCGCCGCCTCTCTGTTCCCACACAGCCAGGCTGTTTGCACAGGTGCGCGAGGGGGAGGGGCGCGGGGGGGTGCTCGCAGCGTCTGCACCCCACGGCCCCCACTGCCCCGAGAGCGGGTCAGACACAAGTGGATCGGCACGTGATCTACATTTTGCTTAATAAATGCATGGGTTTAAGCCAGAAAAAGTTGGAACGAAATCAAAACGTTTAAGAAACAGGTTAAAACGTTCTTCAAACCTTCACACTGTGGACTTCCCCGCCATCAGGGTGATGGAAGACGTTTTTTACCGGTTACGATGTGGGGCGACGTGCGGGGGCGGGGGGAGTGCTGAGGAGAGGCCCCGAGAGGCCCACAAGGCGAGCACCTCTGCGCACCAGGCCCCGAAGGCCGGGCAGCTTCCCGGGCGCCCGCCCGGTCCAGGGGCGCGGCTCACACGCCAGGAGGGGGGCCGGGGTGCTGTGAGGGCCGCGCGGGCAACCGCAGCAACCGCGGCAGGTGGCTCCCAGCGCACCCGGCCCCAAAGCGTGACTCCTCCGTCCCAGGGCCTGCGCAGCTTCGTCAGTCAAACGGAGAACCCAGCCGACGCTACCGATGCTGTCGACGCGGAGGTTGTTCTGAGCCTCTTCCTGCAGCTTCGAGGCCACGTGGAAGGCGTGTTGCTGCGGGTGTTTCCTCCCAGAGACGGTGCTGCCGCCGTTCACGCGTTCACGCACTCACACACTCACTCATTCACTCAGCCGTGCGTTCCTTTGCTGGAAGTAATACAAACCAATTTGTCTGTGTTTAAAAAAATACCCACTTCAGTATTTTGCTGTCTTTGCCCCCTTTTTACACACTCTAAGGAGAAAGCCTCCTCTTTCTAGGATCCCTCAGAAGCCAGGTCCAGCTTGAAGTGAAGTTATGAAATAATTTGACTCTGAGTTTGTCGGGCATTTCACCGTCCCCAGGAGAGTAAGAGCTCAAAGGAGGGTCCGGCTGGGGCTGGAGACCGAGAGGGCGGCCAACCCGGGGCCACGCGTGAGCGCCATGTCCAGAGGGGGCGTCAGGCTCCTCAAGAAAGACGCAGGAAGGAAATGAGGACTCATTTCCCAGGGTCAGTGGAAGGGAGGCCCCTGTCACGGCCGGAGAGGACCCGACGGGGCAGACAGGTGACAGGGAGACATGGGCTGGAGCAGCGTCCCCCGGGGGCCGCACACCAGAGAGCCGTGCGCCGGGCGTGGGAACCGCGACAGGCCTCTCAGGACTTAGACAAACCGCGGGAAACGCAGTGGCCCCAGCCCGGCTGGGGTGCCCGGGGGCACGGGCTCCGGGGCTTCCTGTGGGCGGGCGACGGGGAAACCCCTGTTCAGACCCAGGGAGCCGAGACCGGGGACGCCCCGGCCGCGGGCACCCCTGCTGCCCTGCTGGAACAGACCCCCAAAGGCCCCCCGAGCCCCTCGAAGGCTGTGAGGCTCCTGGCCCCCGACCCGACCGCTCCCAGAGTCCCTGCAGCTCCGTCCCGGGGCGTGTGCTGCCCGGGGGGCGGGGGGGGGGGGGGGGGGGGGCCGCGGGGCGCTGCCTGTACTTCCCGCCCCGCAAACCTCTTCTCCCCCACAGTGTTTTCTTATTTATGTCCCGCCCCTGCCTCACACCAGGACTCACATCAGTAATGAAAACGCTGCCGTTAGTACTTCAGTCAAGAAATCTCTTGGTGTATTCGTGGTTCCTGACAAGTATTTATTTAAATTCAGTACAAATCATATTATTCTAAAATTCTTCTCAAGTATCACACCGGGTGTTACCTTGATGCAAGACTGTCTTTCACAATAAAAATCACCTTGGTGGACACCCAGTCGTTATTCCCGTGGGTCCTTGTCCACATGGGCAGAGCCTGCGAACACACCCAAACACGCGGCGGCGCGGCGGCGCGGATGCTGCCGTGAGCCAGACCCTCGGGCGGAGGGCCCCCCAGGCCCCGGCCGCTGGCGTGTTCATGAGCCTTTGCGGGGTCTCCGCTCCCCTCCGCTCCCCTCCGCTCCCCGCAGGCTGAGGCCGGCTCTGCCCGCAGGGTCCCGCTGAGGATCCAGAAACAGGCCACGTGAGTGTTTAACAACTTCCACGTTTCCTCAGGCCCCAGATTCATGAGCCAGGAGAGCTGAGACACGGGAGAACGTTGCGGTGGACGCTCGGCCAAGTGCTTCGGAGCCCGTGGGACCGGAACGCGCACAGGGCAGGGACGACGTGCGTCCGTCCCGGAGGCCCCAGCGCCCAGCGCCGCACGCAGCCTACAGCCGGCGCTCCGAACACGCGCGCTGCCCGAAGAGCCACAGGGCCGCAGCCGCGGGGGTGCGGCCGCAGAACCCGGAGGCTCGGGGACGGGCGCGGGTCCGAGGGCGCCGGGAGGGCCGGGCCGC